AAAAAAAAAAAAAAAAAGAAAAATATGTGGCCTTTTGTGTCTGGCTGAGTTCACTGGGTGTGATGTTTTCAGGGTTCATTTACGTTGTAGCCCGTGTCAGTGCTTTATTCATAGATGAAAAAGATTATTCCATTGTGTGTATTCAACACGCTTTGTCCATCCATTCACCAGTTGATGGACCTTGGGTTTCCACCTTTCCACTGTTGTGAATCCTGTTGCTGTGAGCATTGGCAAACAAGTATCTGTGTCAGTCACTGTTTTCAGTGCCTTGGGTTGATGCTCGGAGTAGAATTGCCGGATCATGTGGTAATTCTATGTTTAGAATTTAACTTTTTGAGGAACTGCCATACTGGCTTTTGTTTTGTTTTGTTTTGAGATAGAATCTCGCTTTGTCACCCAGGTTGGAGTGCAGTGGCACTTTCTCAGCTCACTGCAACCTCTGCCTCTGCAGTTCAAGTGATTCTTATGCCTCAGCCTCCCAAGTGTAGCTGGAATTACAGGTGTGCACCATCACACTTGTTTTTGTATTTTTTTTTTTTTTTTTTATGAGACAGAGTTTTGCTCTTGTTGCCCAGGCTGGAGTGCAGTGGTGCAATCTCGGCTCACCACAACCTCTGCCTCCCAGGTTCAGGCAATTCTCCTGCCTCAGCTTCCCCAGTAGCTGGGATTACAGGCATGCACCACCACACCCAGCTACTGTTTTTGTATTTTTAATAGAGATGAATTTTTGCCATATTGGCCAGGCTGGTGTTGAACTCATGACCTCAAGTGATCCGCCTGCCTCTGCTTCCCAAAGTGCTGGGATTACAGACGTGAGCCACTGTGCCCAGCCCCATACTGGTTTTTGTATCAGCATGTACATTTTCCATTCCTACCAGCAGTGTAAACTGTTCTGATTTCTCCACATCCTTGGCAACACTTATTATTTTTTTTATTATGGCCTTGCTAGTATGTGTGAGGTGGTATCTCATTGCGGTTTCGGTATGCATTTCCCTAATGACTAGTGACATTGAGCATCCATTCATGTGTTTATTGACCATTTGTATATCGATTTTGGGGGGAGATGTAAGATATTTTTTTTTTTTTTGAGACAGGGTCTCACTCTTGTTGCCCAGCCTGGGGTGCAGTGGTATAATCACAGCTCACTCAGCTTTGACCTCCCCAGGCTCAAGGGATCCTCCCACCTCAGCCTCCCAGGTAGCTGGTACTATAGACTCAGACCACCACACTTGGCTAGTTTTTTGGGTATTTTTTCTTTCTTTCTTTTTGGTAGGTACAGGGTCTCACCATGTTGCCCAGGCTGGTCTCAAACTCCTGAGCTCAAGTGATCCACCTGCCTCTGGGCCTCCCAGAGTGTTGGGATTACAGATGTGAGCTACCACGCCCAACCAGATCTGTAATATGTATTATTTATTTATTTATTTTAATTTTATTTTTTTTGAGACTGAGTCTTGTTGTCCAGGCTGGAGTGCAATGCCACGATCTCAGCTTACCGCAACCTCTGCCTCCCGGGTTCAAGCAGCTGTCCCACCTCAGCCTCCTGAGTAACTGGGGTTACAGTCATGCACCACCACGCCCGGCTAATTTTTGTATTTTTAGTAGAGACGGGGTTTTGCCATGTCGGCCAGGCTGGTCTCAAACTCCTGACCTTGGGTGATCCACCTGCCTTGGCCTCCCAAAGTGCTGGGATGACAGGAGTGAGCCACCGTGCCCGGCCCAGACCTGTAATTTTTTAATTAGAAAATAAAAGCTTTACCTTCTGCTACCTCTCAAGTATACTCTTGTCTCTTTCAGAGGCCTTGAAGAACCAGTGTACTGATGCGGGGATTAAGAAGGGTTCACTTCCCCCAGCACAAACCCCACAAGTCACTAGTCTTTCCTCATGGATGGGGTATGTACTTCTTCAACCAGCGGCTTCTTCCCACTTGGAGCAAAGAGAAGCCCTGTGGATGGAGGAGAAAGGGACTCCTCGAGCCTCCTGTGCAGGTGAGAATCAGGCAGATGGAAACCGCTGGGATGGCAGCGGCATCATGGGAAATATTGGTCGGAAGTATCTTCACAAGGCCCTGATTCTGTAAGGAGAATGCCAAGATCCCGTTCTCAGACACCTTGAGGTCACTTTCTGGCAGCTTTCTCCTTCTCTTTACTGCTCTGTATGACCTCTCTCTGGGTACAGAGAAAAGAATATCCCATTTTCTTGTTTTATTCATTTATCTTAAGACAGGGTCTCACTCTGTGGCCCAGGTTGGAGTGCAGTGGCATGATCATCTCTCACTGCATCCTTGCCTTCCTGGGCTCAAGTGATTCTCCTGCCTCAGCCTCCTGAGCAGCTGGGACTATAGGCACATGCCATCGCTCCCTGCTATTTTGTTTTTCTCAGAGATGGAGTCTCACTGTGTTTCCCAAGCTGCTCTTGAATTCTTGGCCTCAAGCGATCCTCCTTTCTCAGCCTCCCAAAGTGTTGGGAGTACAGGCATCAGCCACAACTCCTGGCCCCATTTTCTTCTATTCCCCCCCGTTTTTTCTTTTTTTTTTTGAGACAGAGTCTCGCTTAGTCGCCCAGGCTGGAGTGCAGTGGCACGATCTCGGCTCACTGCAAGCTCCGCCTCCCGGGTTCA